CTAGGTTTCATCATTTTACAATTTAAATTTCTAGATGAAACCATGTCCTATGCTAATAGTATCTTCTCTTGCACTTCTTCCTTGTGGAACTCTCTTTCTGGCTTCTTGCTTTCTAATCAACTTTGATCTTCAAAGATTTAAATGCAGCATCAATCATCATCTTCTGTCTCCTTGAATCCAGTTCTTTTGTTGTCCTCTCTCCTTAATAATGTTTTTTTCTCAGATTCTTTCAGATTCAGTAACCCATTGTATCTTAGTGGTTTTATCACCTTGCTTGGGGTGAAATGATTAAAAAATACATTATAAATAACTAGTTTCACCTTATTTTTCACCAGTAAAGAATAAAATGAATTCTGGGCCATGTCTTTTAATCAAATGATGATGATAATGATGATGACAACAATGACAACAACAAAATATTATTTAAAGAGAACTGTATTATTATATTTAGATTATTCCCATCAAAATATACTTTATTTAAAAAAAGCATAAAATGCTTTCATTTTACATACAATATTATTATATTATCACATCATTTTTAAGTTAGTGTATTCATGTGCGTAAATTAAGTGATGTCACTGTATATTATCTGCATAACCTAAGATAACAGATACTGGTTCATTAGTATAGTTTGTATTTTTTCATACCTAAAAATGATAACCAGAAACAGATTTTGTGTGGATATATTTGGATTGGGATCAGCTAAAGAAAATACACTGTTGATTATATGATTAAAGTAATTATCAGATTTGAATGGATCAGACCTGTTGTAGGTAACCATCAATGTAGTAATGTAATTCTGTGTCTAGAAATCAATGAATTCATGTCTGTTCCTGAAAGAATTAACTGATTTATATAGCTTATTTATATTTCAGCTTATTTCTATTGTTTTGTCTAAAGTCATGCTGAAAAGTAAATCTAAAAGATGTTTTTTGTCTATTACTTAATATCTAAAATTAATTTATTTAATCATGCAACAATTATGATAAATTTTAACCAGCTTACTTAAGGTTTATAATAAAACTATATATTTTAATCTTACTAATTACAATTTATTAAGAGTTCCTTTATAGTAAAACAAATTGTCAAAAATAAACATAAAACAATCCTTTATGTTTGTAAAAACACCTAACTCATTGTATTGATGTTTATGGTGATCATTATATATTTCTGTAGGCGTTCTGAAAGCAAAGGAAGTATTTGTCGCAGATTACTACCACAACACAAAGAAAAATCACTGTACAGACTCGAATATCGGGTGCAAAAAGAAATGCTGAAAACTTGATTCGCCGGTACTATTTCAAATTACAATGCATGTAACCAGTCAGAAAAATAACTCACTCTCTAACAAATGCCATAGCCAATAATGCCCGAATTTTCCACTCTCGATTCGAGAACACCAACTGCTTTTATTGGCAGAACCATTTTTTTTCATTTGTCGACAGCTGGGAGAGGATGTTCAGTAACTTGCATATCAAAATACTTTTATAGCAACTCCTGCAACGGACTTGTTTTTTAATTCAAATATTCCATTTTCAGCATGTCATGCGGAATACATGCCCTTTTGTTTGGTAAGTAATTTTCTTTTTCGCCACATTTTCTGTCATAGAATACACATGACGCGCTGTCGCTTGGTTTGATGAGGTAAGTCGCCGTTTTCTTCACTATACTCCCCCCTGATCTCACTATCACAAATTGAACAACCTGGAGCAGCTCTCTTTATCCTGGTGCTTCGTCGTAAGGGCACTATTTCCCTTATGCGTGTCGGAGTGTCGTCTCCTGAGGAATCATCAGATATATCTCGAGTTTCCGGAAGTTCTGTGTTTGTGGAAGCATCGGATTCGCAGATCTCAATTATCCGTCATACTGCTGAAATAGCTTGTAGGCATTCTGAAAGCAAAGGAAGTATTTGTCGCAGATTATTTCCACAACACAAAGAAAAATCACTGTAAGTACAGACTCGAATATCAGGTGCAGAAAGAAATGCTGAAAACTCGATTCGCCGGTTCTATCTCAAATCACAATGCATGTAACCAGTCAGAAAAATAACTCACTCTCTAACAAACGCCATAGCCAAAAATGCCTGAATTTTCCGCTCTTGATTCAAGAACAGCAACTGCTTTTATTGGCAGAACCTTTTTTTTTCATTCGTCAACAGCAAGGAGAGGATGTTCAGTAATTTGCATATCAAAATACTTTTATAGCGACTCCTGCGACTGACTTGTTTTTCAATTCAAATATTCCATTTTCAGCATGTCATGCGGAGTACGTGCCCTTTTGTTTGGTAAGTAATTTTCTTTTTCGCCACATTTCCTGTCATAGAATACACATGACGCGCTGTCGCTTGGTTTGACGAGGTAAGTTGCCGTTTTCTTCGCTATAGTTTCTAATCACTTTAATTAACATATTAACTTCATATTTTTGACTATTACATTATTCTCATTCACAAGAAAAGCTTTAAATGAATTTGTTACTGTTAAAAACATTTTAATTTTTCAATTTTTTCATTTTTAATGCATTTTTCCAATTTTTGTTAGTTTATTGATTGCCCTAGAACATACACCAGAAAAAATTAAGCAATTAAAAATAGTTATTAAATATAAAGTCAATACAAGCAAATGTTCTGATAAAAAGTAGCTAAAAAATTAAGATATAAGTAAATACTAGTCAAAAATTAATAATAATGATTCCTTGTGCTTTGTAGCTACAGAGATTTACAGGTACTTTATACAAATCTGAGATGTAGGGTAATTTATTATTAAAGAAATATGAGCAAACATGGGTAAACATGAATAAACATGCCCACAATAAGACGTAGTGTCAAAAAAACAGTTTTTCCTGTGACACCATTTTTTTAACTACCTTTACACTTTGGCAATGTTTATTGTTTTAAAAAGCTATGATTAGAATTGGAATAAAACCTAAACATATGATGATAAAAGTGAATTTATACATTTTTCTTTTGTTCTTGAGAATTTGCAACAAAAATTGTATGCAGCATCTATCAATATGCCTCAAACTGTTGATGGTGGTGCAGCATCTATTATGGCTCTACAGGCCACATGGAAGTGACAACCTTGATTGCAATGAATGGATGTGAAGACATTCTCCCTGATGTCACCTTGTTGTTTTTTTCCTTCAAGCACACTTCTCCCCAACAGCAAGGCTTTGTTTCTCCTCTCTTCGCTCCAGCCCTCAGTGTAAATTGCGTTTCCAGTATGAGTGATCATTGGTGACATCTTCCCACCTGTCAATGTTCATGTCCATTATCCCTTTTGCAAGCATCCTTGAAGCAAAGATGAGGTTGACCTTGTGCTCTATTGCCAGTGGCCAGTTCCCCCATACAGAAGGACCTTCGGAATTCTCCCATTCTGTATATGGCCTACATGTCCAGGTCAGCAAAGCTGGCACTGTTGGAGAAGGGTGTATAGTCTGAGTAACTGAGTACTGGTGATGTTGCAAAAAAAAGCTTTAAACTTATTGTCACAATCTATGCCTGCAATCAGTTTCTTTTCTCTTGTCCATGACACTTGTAGCCAGTTGAACACAGCAATCAACCATCTTTTTTTCCTCACTCCCTTGTTTTGTTCTTCCCAATTTTATGTATCATTGACAGCCAAAATTTGCATATGCACTAAGATAATCTCACAAAAGAGTATCTTCCTCCGAGATCTATTTCAAATATGTGACCTGCAAAGCCACCATTTCTTTCTCCTTTGGACAGTTTACACTGCAAGGCATGTTCAAATCTTTGCTTGTGCTGGAAGTAAGTCATTTTGTCCTTGGTTTTATTTTAGCATCGCAAAAAATACATGCAATCCTGGGCCTCTTTGCCCTCTGTGGTAATTCACTACAGGTGAGTACAATAAAAATATTAAACATTATTTATATATTTATTAGAGTGTTTATTTACAAGAATAATTTTACGTTTACAACATTCTAAAAACTAATATAATTAGAACTAATGCAATGCAATATTTATCATTTAACAATTAATAAAGAAATATATGTGAAAACAATTTTTACTCATAAATTTATAAAATTTTACTAAATTATTAAAATATATGAGCCAAGTATAAGGAAAGCTTTATTATTTACTGTTTTATAAAGATTGAATCAATTGGCAATCAGCCAAGGTTTTGCCAATGATTCCAATAAATAATATAATAAATAAGTAGTGTAAATAAACAATCTAATAGTGTTTATTATTTTTGTTGACAATTCTCAAGAACAAAGAAAATGTGTAGATTCACTTTTATCATATGTTTAGGTTCTATTCCAGTTCTAATCATCAATAAACATTGTCAAAGAGTGAATGTAGTTAAAAATGCAGTGTCTTGGGAAAAACTGTCCTTTTGACACTACATCTTACTGCAGGCACATTTATCCATGTTTGCTGAAATATCTGTCACAAGTGTCAAACTGATAGATTATGATGAGTCATCATTCTATTTAACTCATCAAAAGTTTGATTTTTAGAGAAATTGAGGAAATGTCATTTGATAACCTTTCTAAGAAGATTGATTTATTTTTCTACAATATACTGAAAATGTATTTAAAGTTTTGATAGGGGATGCAAAAGCAAGAGATACCAAGCAGGTATTAAGTAAGGAACACTTTAATTATTCAATACATGATTTTTCTGTAGGATCATCATCATCGGTCCCTTGATTGCTTCAATCATCAGCAGGACATGAGGGTAGAAGAAACAGATTTTGATTCTTCTTCCTCATAATCCTTTCATTGACCTTTCAGATAGCTTGGTTGTGTCCATCTCCTCTTCAATTTCTTGACCAACATTGAAGACCACAGAATATGCTCTCAGTCTGTAGGGTCCCAAATTTTTAATTCAGAGTTGTCCTTCTCCTAGAGTGGTTGCTATAGGACTCATAGCTAGGGGAGAAGGTATTTCCCAAGGGTATTAGCAAATAAGTGAATGTAATGAACTCAGCTGGAATTTGAACTTGGTTCTCTGATTCCTCGATCCAAGCTGCTATCCATTACTCCACCATGTCTCCTGTAGGATAACAAAAATAGTAGCAGTAACTGTAATGTGCTCAATTTTCAGATACAGTATTCAAAAATCCCTTGACCAACAACACTTTATAAAATGACAAGTGCTACCTATCCTATTCATTCTTTTTCCTCTTTTTCCTTCCTGTTTTATCTCACCAGCAACAAGTAAATAAAAATCTTTCTATTTGTAAGAGCTGAAATATTCTTGCTTGATCACAAAGACAAACTAGTGACCATTCTAAAAACTTGTTACATTCTGAATTTCATAGGTCAGCTTTTCTTTCTACTTCCATTGTTGATGATTTGTCTCTTTGCGCTTTATCAATATTTTATAATTTTCTTCACTTTCTTATTTTATTCAATTTAAGTCTCAATAATTATTAAATAGGTATAGTAAGTAATTTTCATAATGCTCTGAAGATGATGCAAATAAATATTGAAATATTAGTAAAATTCCTCATGAGTTTTGTTTATTAATCAAATTTTGAGGTTTTATTTTGATCCTTCATACATACATATACATGTATATGCATGAGGGGTACTGAAAAAATTTTCAATCTGACCTAGTTACCAGAATTCAACCAACTAACCAAACATCGGAATTTTGGGGAAGGGCTTCTTCGTCAGGCCAAAGATTTTCAGCACTCCTCATATATACCTTCACACATATATAGTATCAGGTTGTCCTAAAAGTTAGTTCTAGTTTTGTCATTAAATGGCATAAAGTGTATTTAGTTTTAAGTAACTTCATTAAAAAAGATAACTTTTGATTGTATTGTAACAACTGTCATTTCAGAATGATTTTTTTAGTATTTGGTAAATTTAGTATATTTTTATGTAGTGAATATAACATTGAAGAAGGACGAAAATGAGCAACATTTTTGGTACATTATACTTTTTTATCTTAAGAATAGTAAAAATGTGACTATCTCTGAACGCAACACAAGCAGAGATAGGGTAAGTTTGTTGAGAGCACCTGAGAGCAGAGGGTTTCAGCAGTGCTCTGAGGGTCTCAGCCCCTTTTATCAATATTTATTTTTTTACTTGTCACCATGTTAAATTTTCAGTCATTAATTGTGATAATATATCTTTTATAATAACTATAATATGATATTATTATAACAATTATAAGAATAACAATTATTATATATAGTATAATATATCATATAATAATTATAATAATAAATGTATCTATTTACATATATTTATTTTTTGTTAAAAATACTAAATACATATACAGGGCTATCAAAAATACTTTTACAAACTTCAGGGGTGGACACCTAACACCAAAACAAGTACAAAAGTTCATATAAACATATGTCCACAAATCCTTTGGTTTCTGAGTTATTAAATTTAAAGAAAGTTTACAGTAGATTGCACTGTGATTGCCATGTAGACTAGGTTACATTTGTTATTTGTGTATATGTGTGGCTTGTCTGTCTTTAACGTTTAATGGGTGTAGTAGTGAGTTAAATGAGAAGTGTTCCACTTAACAGTGGCAGGACATTCATATCATGAGCAGGCAGATATGATTTTTACATATGGCCATGTGAATGGTAATGGATGCAAGGTTGCATGGCTGTATCAGATTGCATTTCCAGACTAAAGGCAGTTGAGTGAGTCATCCAATCTTTGCTGCTGTTTATCATTGCATTGCTGAGACAGGATCCATAGCACCACAAACTATGGATTGTGGAAAACCAAGATCCACTTGTATGCCTGACCATAACGAACACATTCTACAGGCTGTTGGAGATGATTCAGGCATCAGCACGTTAAGTGTCCCTAGCATGTCATACATATCATGAAGGATACTTCAAGAGCAGCTCCTGTATCCATATCATTTGCAAAATGTGTAGGGTCTTTTGCCCTCTGAATCACTTACCACAGGATAACTTTTGCTGATGATTTATTGCACCAATTACCAATCCATTGTTTGCCTTGTTTATGGATAAAATAACATTTGGAAGAAACGGAATACCAAATTTACACAACCAACATCTGTGGGCAGATTGGAATCCCCATGGTACAATACAGGCTAGACACCAGCATTAGTTTATGATTAATGTGTTGGCTGGAATTGTAGGTGACTGTCTTGTCGGTCCATATGCTCTCTCACCATGTTTTACAGGAGCTGTCTACACGGACTTTATTTCAAACAAATTTCCAGACCTGCTAGAGCATATACTCTTGCTAATACAAAGATGCATGTGATTCGTGCATGATGGGGCTCCAGCACATTTTAGTCACATTGTTAGCAATGCACTAAAAGATGGATAGGTAGGGGAGAACTGGTTCTATGGCCTGCATGTTCCCCTGACCTCAATCCTTTGGATTTTTATGTGTGGGTCCACCTAAAACAATTGGTTTATGCAGTAGACATTACTAATATGTTTACATGGACATTTTGCCTCGTTTTGGTTTCAGGAACCCAATCCCCAAAATTTGTAAAAGTATTTTTGGATTGTATCTTGGGTTGTACATTTAACAACACTTACCATAAACTTTAAACTTAATAACTCAAAAACAAAAGACTTGCAGACATATGTTTATATGAACTTTTGTCCTTGTTTTGATGTGAGGAACCCACCTTCAAAGTTTGTAAAAGTATTTTTGATACACCCTATATTGTACCAGCATATTCCTCTCACTGGTTGAACAAAAAATAGGAAACTCTAATTTTTCTGTTTCAGGTGAACAAATTTAGTCAATTGTTAGTCTTCTATACCAACATTATGACTGCTGAGATTTATGCAACTTGCAATTTTCTTCAAGACTATCATGACAGTGCATGAAACTGCAGAAGAAAATGATTTAAAGCCACAAATGCATCATAAATAACATTTACTTGATTATGAAAATCATGATGAAGTTCAAACACCTGAAAACCATTTTCATCAGGACTTCTTTACTACTCTTGTTAAAGAAATTCAATCCGTTTTCACAGCTATTCCAGCAAAATGAAATTTACAAATTCATTCAAAAATTCAATATATTGCACTGGTAAAAATGGTTGCTGAAGTCATTAGGTTTATAATACCAAGAAATTCATACACAGATGTCTTCAAGAACACATGGCACAGTGGATAAAGGTGTTAGTGACAGGACCCAAAGAGTGTGAGTTCAATACCTGGTTAAGGCGGTGATAAACAGCACATGGAACTAGAACAGTCTACCCCAACTAGTCTACCTCAGAGCAAAATAAAGAGTTCAGTTCAATATTCCAACCACCTGGCCGGAGCATACAACAGCTGAAACATTGTGATAAATATGGTGGCAAAGACGAGGACAATAGTTCGAATAGTGTATATAATACCTCATCTCAGAAATATAGACAGATACACCAGTAAAAGTTACAATTACTGAAAGAATTTTTTATTTTTTGTTCATAATGTTGAATGCATTAGAAATATACAGATTTTTTTTACAAATTGTTTAGCTAATACAAGGCCCAAGAGTCATTCAAAGTAGAAGGTTGCTGTATGAATGTAAAAGGAGGAGATAAAAAGCACAGATTATAAGGATATGTAGGAAAGATAATTGATAATTCTATACTTGAAGTTAAAATTATAATGATCAAGGAAGCATCCTCTTGGAAGTCTGTTCCACAAAGCATCTATTCTTGGGAAGAAGTTGTCTGATAAGAACTTCCTTTTTACTAATTCTATATGAAGGGAAATGGGATGATTCATACCAGTGTACATGGCATGACAGGTTTTAGCTGTGAAAGTCTGAACTGGTGGAAATAATGAATGTACTTCATCAGAATATTTGCCATGGAAATAGAAATAGAATAATGATATGCTTGTGACATATCATCTGTGGAAAAGGGGTTGTAGAGTAAAAAATAATTAATCACTGACAAGGCTGCATAGTCACTTTTGCACTCAAGGCAGGAAAGTGATGATTGGGCAGCTCCAACACAGATATGGCAACTCCTTCTTTTTCAATCTAATCTGGCTCTTGTAAAGATAGAGCATGGCAGAAGTCAGGTATTTTCTGAAGGGGTATAAGGAACCAATCATTTTATGAGCTTCTTTAGTGATGGATCATATATATTAGTTTTACTTGAGACCTGAGGTGAATTTGAGCTCCAATAGATGTTTGAAGCAAGGAGCTTCCTTGAGAGTACAACCATTCAATATGATAGGTGAAAATAAACGTATGAGATGCACTTATACACTATTGTATTATTTGTTCTTGCTTTGAATATTGCTGCCACATCTAGTCTGGTATATATTTAGAGATTCTCAATAAAATCCAAAGAAGAATCTGCAATGCTAATTGTCCAAACCTGACATCTTGACTTTAGTCACTTTTCCACTGACATGATGTAGATTCCTTGTACCAATTCTCATGGTAATTGTTTTGATAAACTTTCTGCAATGGTAACTAGACTTTATGAATTTAAGAACAGTACTAGATTGGCAGCAAGGTCTCATCATTTTACAGTTGAAATGACTAGATGTAACTGTAAGTCCTATGCTAACAGTTTCGCTATCAAACTTCTTGCCTGTGGAATACTCTTCCAGCTTCTTGTAATTTTGGGTCTGCAGCCCAGCTTGGATTATAGAAAGTAAGTGATTTGTAACCCACTGTCTCACCATGTTGGTCGTCAGGTTCCTTCAGACCACCATGGTTACTATCTAGCTGAGTCCACAATTTTTGACACATTGCTGGGTTGTTGCTAGTATCATGATGATTAGCCCAGTTCCACTCAATCGAGCTGGCATTTGTCTGCTTTGCAACCATTCACTCTTCTGCAATGTTGGGTTTTTGATTTCAAAGGGTGAGAAGATTGCTGATGAAGTAAACTGAAGTGAAGAAAAGGTTGATGATGAGGAATTACACAAAAAAGAATTCTCTGGAATAAAGAGATTAAAAATGTAACAATGATATGGTTCATATATGATCTGTTGTATATAGTAGTTTTAACCCTTCCCACTTTCATTAAAATCTAATGACACTGGGATCTCCTTTTGGAGTTTATAGCTTGTGTTA